ATGCATAGATGTGACTCGGAGATTCCGCCTATAACTTACTAGAGAATCAGAAACACAACAGCAGAGCAATTTAGCAACTCAGTGCGTGAAGTGGGACGACGTATCGAAAACATCTGTGTTCAAACAAAACGCATGCATAATATATATATATATTATATATATATATTATATAATATATATTATATGCTGCCCATAGGACGTCTCCAAACACAGAGGACCCTCGTCAACCCGATATGAAAGGTAACAGGCTGTGAACGTGAATACAGAATGCAACAATCTTGGGGATTTACTGTTGCCGTGTTAGAGTTTTTCGCCTTTTTATGGGATTTGCTGGCTTTGTGCGAACAACTAAAGTGGGAGAGGCTCAGAGTCCTTCCCCTCAAAGGCATATTCACTTGTGCGAACTAGTCAAATAGCAATATGTTCAGTAGCCAGCTTAACCATAGGCGCAGTGTGGAGGGTGTTTCGCTGCATGCACACTACTCAGAATCTGGTCTGAGGATAACATAGATCGCCTGATCTCAAATGAATGTAGATTCCACCATGATGCATTCTTCTAGCGAAATGTCTACTGAAGTTAAAGGAATTAGTGGCTTTCGGGCGTGACTAAGGACTAAACCGCTCTCTCTCTCTCTCTCTCTCTCTCTCTCTTCTCTCGTCGTCGCGCGCGTCTCTCTCTCTCTCTCTCTCTCTCTCTCTCTCTCTCTCTCTTCTCTCGTCGTCGCGCGCGTCTCTCTCTCTCTCTCTCTCTCTCTCTCTCTCTCTCTCTCTCTCTCTCTCTCTCTCTGTGTGTCTCGCTCTCTGTCTCTCTCTCTCTGTGTCTCGCTCTCTATCTTTCTCCCACCTCTCTCCCGCCCTGTTTACCCCTCTCCGCTTTCGCTCTATCTGTCTATCTCGTTTCATCTCCCTCTGACCCGTCCCTTTTCATGTTACGAAAAATTTTAGTGTTTAAACGACTACATCAAAGCTCCGAGTGAAATATATATGATTGTAATTTATAGCCATCTAACCGCTGGTATAGGTATAAATAAGGTTAACACGATCATAATAGAACCTGTCTGCAAAGCACATCTGTGTCACAACCGTCTACAACTTGCAGACGTTCTTTAAGACTTCGTTAGTTTCTTACGACGACGTTTCTTCTAGGAATAATTTAGTAAAATTGTCATTAAGTTTTTTCTGGTATGTGAAGTGCCGCTTTGGTTTCGTTTCCACCAAGAAAATGTCTAAAACAAGCCACCACACAAAGAACATTTCAAAACGTGGATTGAGCGATATATGAGACGAATGTGGAATGTCGGGTAAAATTCCAAGGTCGAAGAATAAATATAAAAAGGGTTCAATATTGACTTTGTTCAAGTTTATCGCGTGGCATTCCAAGACGTTACAGCCCCAGGTCTATATCGACCTTAGTATTTAGTGGGGGAGACGTTTCTAGCTTAGCATTTACGAGTATTCGATGTGATCTTAAACCGATGGAGATGTATATTATAAGAGGGTAGGGGTATATGAGGCATTTTTATCGAGCATTTAGAGGTATATGGGAGTTTACGGGTTATTCGTAGGGGAATTTTAAGGGGATTGGATATTTTAACATTATATATTAGTAATGATTCGCGCTACATTTCACTTTGTTGTTTTTGATTGTGGGTTTGATTGCAGTTTAGTCTCAAGAAAACGAATCGAGAAATGAATGCCAAGTAGTAAACGTTGTTTCTTATTCGAACAATGTGGATGTTTTATTACCCGCCTTGCCCATTAGTCCCTGAGCTCACCAAAGCAGCTGACAATAGAATTATAATCAGTCGGGTCATCACGTGCGGAAGGAAAAAAAGTATCCGCCGTTCAAACTCAAAGCGGGAAAAATCATTGCTAAAAAATGCACGAACCGTCGTATAAAAAATCTCTTTGTGCGCTCCTATAAGTGCACAGCATAATATCTCAATTAAATAGCCGACTGCAACTCGGCATTGAAATAGATACGTGCTCGCATCAAAGAGAATTTTAGATCCGAATTGATTTACTGCCGGCACCGTAGAGAGAGGTTGCCACGGGAGGCCGGCCGTCTAGGGGCTAGTACGACCGGTGGCTCACCTGAACACAACTCTATACAATATTGAGCACATACCTTTCGCTATAAAAACTGGACGCAAACCTCGAGAGCTCTATTCTCTGCCGAAGGAAGATTGATGCTCGCGGTGACTCACTCACTCCTCTAGCGATCATGATGTCGGGCTGGGGTTGGATTAGATTCACTCCCCCTAGCTGTGGGCCAGGCTCATAGTTAGACGGAAAGTGCTATTAGTCGGCGGTTAACTAAACCTGACTAAATTAAACTAAAACTTATCTGAACTTTAACTAAGTTAACCGGTTACCATAAGATGATCGGAAATTAGAACTGTATGTTACAAGTACGCACAGACATGGGTGACGCAGACATACATGCTGAAGTGTGGGTTGTTTCATTATTTAATCTTGATACTATACATACTACCAGGCGTGAATAAAAACCAATTTGGTTTTATTTACTCATAATACTATAACGTGGACGAGCATTTACACGCACTATAAAGTGGGAGTGTTGCGACTATGGTTGAGTATTCGTACGCAAGCGTCACTCTAGCCGTCTATCCCCCAAACACCGCCGGCGGAATCAGAGAGCGGTCTGTTAAAATACAGTTTCATTAAAATTGCCTTTCACGCGTAAACGCACATGGCCGAAGCATTGAGTTGTCGAGACCGTTTTTTTTTTTCGAATCGCTAGTGAAATCTGAGCGCGGGCAGGCAGTGGGACATTCGGGCCATGTGCTGACAGACTCGGTGGGTAATACGCATGCGGGCTATAAGCTCCCGAATCGTCGGCCGATGCCCACTTGTCTCAAGTTGCACGCTAGGTGCTAGCAGCTAAACGATTTGTATACTTGGCGAAGACTGTTGCAGCGACTTGCCATCTGCAAGCGCATTTTGCAATCGGGGCGAAGTAGCCATAAAAATGGAAGTCATTGCTCATAAGACGGTTAGCCTCGGGGCCTTTACGTTGCAACAGGCTGTGCAGCTGGTGCCTTTTCCCATTCCTTTTGTTGTAGCGCAGAGCAATCCTGTGCAGTCCTGTACGCGACACTTGCCAGTGAAACGTTCGCTTGTTTATTTTTGCTAGGCAGCGGTTCACCGTAAGCGAGTCATTATTTTTGCGTAGATGAGTGAATAGAACGCAGACACATGTGCGACGCGGCATTAAAAGAAATCGTATATGCGCTGTCCCTATAGCCGTGAAGTAAATGCGTGTGAATAAATACTCTATAAATATATGATGACGAAGACATTCCATTCTATTATTCTATATCTGGTTTCTTTGAAATGTCAAAATGTTACTGGCTTATAATTCGTTGTGCATGATAATTATCGTGGGTTTAGTTAATTCTGGACGAAAATGCCGTTTTTCAAAAACTTTGCATCGTTTTGTGTGTCCGTCTTGCCAAGACAAGTCTCATTATAATAATATTAGCGAATATAAATCTAATAACCATTCAAACCTGCACAAACTAAAAACCTCTACCTAAACGTCTCTTGAAAACTCGCTACAAAATCTCCTACTACTAGTTATACTCGAGATTAATGTGATGGTGCGAGTTAAGGTTACCTGCCTGTGACATGCCGATCCTGTATAAATAAATGATTGCACACGCCCGCGCGCAATCTCAATACTGCCACGCCAGTGACCAGACCCGAGACTGTTTTGTCAAACAACACGCGAGAGCTCATCATTTAGCTGAGAGAGGGAGGAGTGTGAAGCGGTGATGGCGGGGAGTGATGGCGGGTGGGGGGGTGTGACACATAACCAGGCGGCCTGGATGCCCCCCTACTCGTCTTCTGCGTTCGCGTAACATGAGTACGCGAGGCTCAGTTCGCTCGCCTGGCCTGGCCTGGGCCATCCCCGCTGATAGAGTGACGGCAGCGTGACAGTTGGCATTGTTGGTCGGCGTGCGGCGCATGATGTTTCGTCACGTCGTAAATTGCTGTTGTTTCGGCCGCCGGTGAAAATTCCCGCCGTGCGTTCGTTCGTTTACCACGTCGTCGCCATAAACTATATATCCACCTTACTGCTGCGGCTGCTGCTGCTGCTGCTGCTGCTGCTGCTGCTGCTGCTGCTGTTGCTGGTGGTGGTGGTGGTGGTGGTGCCGCTGCTGCTGCTGCTGCTGCTGCTGGTAGTGGTGCTGGTGGTGGTGGTGGTGGTGGTTGTGCTGCTGCTGCTGCTGCTGCTGCTACTGCTGCTGCTGGTGGTGGTACTGCTGTTGCTGGTGGTGGTGGTGCTGTTGCTGGTAGTGGTGGTGGTGGTGGTGCTGCTGCTGCTGCTGCTGGTGGTGGTGGTGGTGGTGGTGGCGGCGGTGGTGTTGCTGCTGGTGCTGGTGTTGCTGCTGCTGCTGGTGTTGGTGGTGGTGGTGCTGCTGCTGCTGCTTCTACAACTACTGCTACTGTGCAGAGCTTCTGTGCAGTGTGAAGGCGCCACCCTATGTACGCAGCTTTGACGGCAGACAAAAACTGTTACCGCCCAATAAAAACAGACGATTTCGCGCCTAAACTGTGTTTGAACTGCCATCCCTATCCGTGTCAGTTGTTGCTGTTTGGGGGGAGCAAGTTAGAGGCGAGGGAGAGGGAGCAGAAAGAGAGAGGGGGAGAAAGCAAGGAAGAGGGGAGACCGAGATAGAGAGAAGGAGTGAGAGAGCGAGTGAGTGCGATAGAACGGGGGAAGTCCTCTTGTGATGCGGTCACCCAGCAAGCATGCATGACGCGCGCGCGCGCCAGAAGATGTAAAAACCAGCATGCTGTCCCAGCCTCTCAGGTCAAGCCTCCACCGTCCACGGACCCCACATGTGTTCTGTGCTAGTGTAACATACGAGAGTTCGTCCCGGCGTCTAATGGCGGGAGTCGGAGCGTAGATCGGCGTAAGAGATATGACCGAGGATAGGGCCGCTTGGCGGTTACTGACTGGCCACTTTACCACGCGTCACTTGAATCCACTCGTGAAAAGATGAAAACCCCTTAATAAGTGTTAGAGGCAGCCACGCACCACGCACGCACACACACACACACACACACGCACGCACGCACACACACACGCACACACACACACACACACACACACACACACACACACACACACACACACACACACACACACACAACGAACGCGCGCGACGACACAACTAAACTAACCGTACCGTAACGGTCGTACGCCGCGTCGTTAGTTTCGCGTATTA